CTGCCTGCCTTGTCTCGAGTTCCCTCATTAATCAGAAAGCAGGGCAAATCCCGCATTTGAATTCTCCGAGTCTGTCTCCCGGCCAAGTCCCTCTCACCCTCCCCGGTGCAGGAAGGAGACAGGACCCAGAGGAGAGGTGCTTGAGCAGAGCTGAAAGCCCCACCAGTCCTGCCCGGATTTCAGCAGGAATTCCAGCCCCTGTGATGACCGTTCCTCCTCGTGGGCTTTGCTCCCACCACCCCGTGAGTGGGGTCTGGGTGGGAAGGGATATTTAAGGATTTGTGGGGACAGATTTCCATGTCTTAGCCCTGGGCGCCTTAAAAACATGCTCCCTGCTCCAGGATCTGGGGGCTTATCAGGCACTTTCACACCTCCCTGCATTTCTTCTTCCTGCTGTCATCATGTCATTCTCCTCAGGATTTTTCCTGTATTTCTTCTCCTATTTTCTCCTTATTCCTCCCTTTCTCCTCAATTTTTCTACAGCTGATACGTGAGTTCACAAAAGGTGCAGTGCTACAGGGGCTAATCCTGGACCCACCGAAGGGATTGCCAAAGCTCCCGAGGCTCAGGAATCACCTGTTTGCTCTGAAAACCTTCACTGTTCCTGATATTTTCATATCTTCCTAATAAACACATGGAGAGGAAATCACACAGGAATGAACCCTGCCAGGGCACCAGAGTTCAAGTTAAGGTGATAAGATGTTTGTTTCCAGTTGGTTTTCAGTGTGATCAAAGCACTCAAATCAGTCGAGGAAAGTCACGGAACCTCCAGACTTACAGAAAGTGGCCCCTCAGATATGAATTTCCCCCTTCCCACCCTGCTCAGAAACAGAGTCATCAGGAATCAGTCAAATAAATACGTATCCATTTTCACACGAGAAAAATGTTCCGTTCTCCCCTTTTGCCGTTGCCAGGAGCAGTGGCACCTAATTGACAAGAGCAGATGGGCTTTGTTTGGTTAAATATGAAAAGGGGGAAAAAAGCAAGAAACTTTCATGGAAGAACAACCAGCTTTGCTGGGACACGCAGGTTAAGAGTTTAGGGAGATGGGGCTGCATTTGACACCGAGCAAGGGAAAAATGCCAATGCAGTCTCAGCAGAGCCAGCTTCTCCCAGAGAAGAACCTGGAGCTCCCACATCACCTTTCCATCCCCCTGGCCAAAAAAAAGATGTGGATTTTAGCACATGTTCATCTCCTCCTCCAAAAATCCTGCCCCAAGGTCGTGGGGAGGCTGAAGCCAGAAAGGAACAGGGAGCGAGGAGCAATTGTGACTCAGAAAAGGGACAGCAGCCACTCTCTGAAGGGCACAGACATTGTTTGAGGGAATCACATCCTCTGGAGACAGGGGGGTGCAGGGCAGTGTGGAGGAATGTGGAGGAGGTAGTAGGGGGGGAAAAGAGCAGGGACCACATGGAAAAAAACTGGAGGGAGGGAGCGATGGAAAAGGGAGGCAGAGGAACCCAGGAGGCAAGGTTAGAGAAAGACCCTCGTGTGGGGTGGCACCCAAGAGCCTCAGAGGTTAAAGAATATTAGAAGAACATGTTCCTACACTAAGATAAGCCAGAGAAATGAATCCTTATCCGTCCAAAACCAACCCTTGAAAATTCGAGCGAGAGAAGGGTCTCCTTTCAGGGAAACGGGGAATCCTTAATGCTTCCTCCCTCAGCAACTGTAATGCCAGGATGTTCCCAATCTGCTTTGAGGGATGGAAAGATTAAGAATAATAAAAAAATTGCAATAAAATATGTGTGAACGAGGGGGTAATTGTGGACAAATGCAGCATTCAAATTCATTTTTCAGCTCTTTTACACACCATTTCAATCTTATTTTCTGCTTGTTAATGAGATCTTGTTGGTTGGGGTGGGCACGGCTGCCCAGTATCGCTTGGGTAATTGCACATAATTTTCTCTCTACTAGTGATTTGCATCAGATTTTTTTTTCTAATTCTTTGCTATTTAAACCCCCTCCTCCCTTTCCCCCTCCCCCCCAAATCTCATCCTCTCCTCCCCTTCTTTCTTCCCCTCCCCTTCTCCTGGCCCAGCAAGACTCATTTTGAATGCTTATTATAAGCACAGTGTCTCCGTCAAAAAAAAAAGGAAAAAAAAAAAGGCACCAGACAGAAGGGATCCGTGTCACGAGGGAAGCAGGGAAGGAGAGCTGTCTCTCCGGAGCCAGACACCACCATTCCTGCTCCCCTCTCGCCAGCAACATCATGTCTTTCCCAACTGCCAGGTTTTCCACCCCAAAAAAGGGCTCAGCTGGCTCTTCTTGTCCTTCTGCCAGGACCAGTGAGCTCCTGACAGGGATTCAGATGATCTCTAATCCCACCCCAATGAGGCTGAGGAAACATTACCCTGGATGGTGGAAGGGAATGGAGCCATGGGATGATGTCAGGAAAAACAAACTGTGCAGACTAAGAAGGTCCCTGAGTTTAGAGCAGAAATCTGTGGGCAGAGCCTGAGCTGTGCCTTGAGTGTACCTCCAGGAACACCCTCAAAACTCAGGGATAAACCAGAAATTGCAAATCTGACTCTAACCCCCAGACCTGCCATTCCAGTGGGAATGAATCTGCTCATGAAGAAAAAAAAAAAAACACTGAAAGCCCTGGGAAAATTAAAGCAACAACTGTGAGATGGTGAACAAGTTTCTCTTGGCTCTTCGTATTCCTTACGAATTTGTATTCCTTACGAAGATTGTCTTAATCTCTGGATGATCCCGTGGTTTTGCTATAAGATTCAAAGGTCTCAGAAATAACATGTTATGGAAGCACACGAAATGCCTGACTCTGAACTGCATCTGAATGTGTTCCCCAGCTACACAGGGGCCACCTGCAGCAAAGGGATGAGCTTTGGCTTTAGAATAACCCCCTGCAAGACCCCAGCATGCTACAGGGAACAATCAGACATATTCAAGATACAGGCCTGGATCTAAAAGGGCAGTGGAAATTTTAGGAAGTGAAGCAATGGACAAAACCCTCCTAAAAAACCATGAAGACACTTCAAAAGGCAGAAGAGATGTGGTAGAAGAGGCTAAAGATGAAAGCAGCAGAAAATACATAAGACCCTGTTTCTTAGCTGTTTGAAAAGCACCCAGGGGATCTCCCACCATCACAAATGGCAGAGGAACAGCCAATGTGGCTCCACTTTTGTCTTGTAATACAAAGTTTAAGTCACTTAATTTTCTGCCACCTCAGCCCTCACTGCAGCACTCACAGTTCCTGATGCTGCTCAGGATGTAACCGGACTGAATTTAAGGCCAGCTTGGACAGGGCCTGGAGCAACCTGGGACAGTGGAAGGTGTCCCTGCCCATGGCAGGGGTGGAACGAGATGGTCCATAAGGTCCCTCCCAACCCAACCCATTCTACGAGATGATTCTGTGATTTATCAGGAGACTAAGCTGTTTGTCACAAGCCTTGTCCCAGCTCAGTGAAGGGCAATTCTGGGCTAGCACAGGGCTGAACTTCCAAACAGAGGGATGCAGAGTTTGTTCTCACTGCCAGTGTGAGGAGTGACCTGGCTAAGGATGTCTTGGTGCCCGGCCTTGTCCTTGTTGAGGTTGACGGGTATTCTCAAATAAATGGGAAATGAGTCCTCTGTGGGATGAAAATGAGTTGGAAATAATTACAGTGTGCATGTGAAATCTCACCCATGCCCAGCCTTGGTTTACAACCCACTCCTGTGAGAAATGGTGAGACAGAAGCTCCAGGGCCAGAAATCACCCTCTGCATGCCTAAGTTATTCATCATATAACGTTGCTTTGTGTCTCTGTGTCCTCACTAAGTTTTGGCCCAGGCTTTAGTGCCAGCCCAAGGCAGGTCTGAGCCCCTGAGTCAGCCCAGCTGAGCCTGGGGCAACTGCTGCCAACCCACCAGTCCTTGTGGAGCAGGGGGGACTTTGCTGCTGCACATTCTGGCTCCCCCGAGCCCCTCTCTGATAACATGGGAGCACCAAGTGCATCCTGACAGCTGGAAGTGACTCATGTGGCTGCAGCTGGTCAGGCTGGGAGGTTCCCTTTCCCAAACAGGCAAAATCTCTCTCTGACAAAGGCTGTCCCAGTACAGAACCAGCCCAGATCACTGCTTGGGTTACCCTGGGCTCTCACTCAGGTCTAGGAAGGAGCATGACGTGAGACTTCACTCCAGGTAGTGCTTCAATCACCTTGGACTGTCCTTTGCACAACCAAGTCGGTGTTTTTGTATGAAGTGTCACAAAAAACGTCATCACGAGATGAAGGAGTTGAAGACAAAAATTCTCAGCTGACCTCTCAGGTCTGGAATAGAGGCAGGACACCATGGAAGCTGCCTGGGAAAAGCTCTGGGGCTCCAGCAGCTGAGCTGGGCAGGCACAAGGCTTTGTGTGCCATGGGCTGGAAAACAGGCCAGAAGCGGGGCCATTTCCCACGTGAAGTTGGGGTCTCTCTGTCTGCCCGAGCGGAGGACTGAGGTGGGTGAGGGGGGGCCTCCGGGGGGTCCCAGCCCTTGTGGCCACATGTAATCCTCTGTTCTCTGTGCTGGGAATGGGAATGCCATGCCTCTCCTCTAGAATTCCAGCTGCCAGCACCGGGGCTGGGGGTTCTGGCCGGGACACCCAATCCTGGGGTAATTGGATCGTTGCTGAGAGGCAGCAAATGCTGGGAGCTCTGGGCCAGGCTGGCCCCCACCTCTTGTCTAAACTGCAAAGAGATCTCCCTCCTGCTGCTGCTGAGGGCTGAAACCAGAGAACTGGCTGTCTGCAGTGCAGACAAATTGCCATCATTTACAGTTCCCTTCTTTTTTTCTATCTCCTGAACTCCCTCTTTCCCTCTAGCTGGTATTTACCCCTGTAAAGAGCAACTTCAGATAGAGAGAGGAGGAGGAGAGGATTGAGGTGTGATGGGTTTTACCTGCAATGCCATGGAAGAGCTGAATTATGCTCAGCACAGCAGGAAAATTACACAGAGCATCCCATATAGAGACCTCACTAAACTTTTACCCACCCTGCTACATAAAACAGGACACTTTTAGGAGTTCTCATTCATCCCATTAGGAGTATTTCCTGTATCCTTCCACTAGGAACAGCAGAGGGCTTAGAAAGGCAGGAAGGTTTGGTAAGTAAATAAAGCAGTCATGAAATAACCTGGGTTAGCCTTTCCATGTACAAAAGAAATAGAAGAATTTATGTGCTGATATCTTGGCCCTCACATGATTAAAAGCATTAGGAAAATGGGAATCTCTCCTTCTTGGGGGTGCAAAGCTCTCTTTTCTTCAGGACTGCCAGATAATGGATCCTCTCTTTCCCATACAAAGGGCTTATTGGCTCAGGACTCTATCTTTCCCCAGCCTGAGCCTGGGGGCAGGGTAATTTGGGATAGGGATAAGCAGAGAGAAAGCCTTGGTTTGGTCATTTCAATGAGCCTCTGATTTCTGAGTGGGACTGGGAGGGAGATGATGAAGCTCCAGAAATGGAAATTGCAGGATGGACTCGTGTCTGGTGCTATCACGTGGATCTCATCCCCAACTTATTCCAAGGTGCTAAATTGCACTTGTGATCATCTGAATTAATCACGTGCCCTGGCCTGTCTAACCTGGAGCCTGCCTTTGAATTCCAGGCTCTGTCCTCATCTCCCAGGCCTGCTGCTGTTAGAAATCCCTTGTCAGAGAGATGTCTGCCTATTCTCCCCCAGATCACCCTGTCTGAGGTAATATTCTGCCTCATGCCAGTCACACCTTTACATTTTCCCACTCAAAGCTAGAAGGGGAGGGTTTATACCATTTCTGAGAAGCTGCAAAATTTCCCTCCTTCCATTGGCACTCTATGTTTGTTTTCACACTTGAGAGATCACAAGCTATTGGACCTCAAGATCCATAAACCTTTCTGATGTCCCTCTTTATTGGACTCTCCTCTAAACAGTTGTAGTCTTTTCATTTCAGAAGCCCACCTAATTTCTCCTTGTAGTTTCAAATTATTTTGCATTTCCTGTCCTAAACAGTCTTACTGGTACTCTGAAACAACTATTGTAGTGCATTTCATGTGTCCCCATGTTCCACGAGTGACTGGGAGTGAAAGTAAAAGGGATTTTTGTATCCCTCCAGCATGAATAGAAGTGTACAATATGTACCTTGTTCCATTTAAAAGCAAATGTGCACTTGGAAAGCAGGTTACTGCAACTAAAACAATGAGGTTAAAGGCTCTGTCTGATAAGGTGACAGGAAATTAGAATTCTTATCCCAGGGTGGAGTTAGAGGGGGATGGATTCTCAGGTGGTGAACATCCTGCCTTCTCCACTCAGCTGAGAACATAAGTCTGCTCCCATAGCACATGAGCACAAGCTCTGCTCTCTCTGGGCTCACTGATGGTGGAGATTTAACCTCTCTCTGCTCTGAGCCTTGTTTCTGTCACATGCAGCACTTAGAAGCTGTACACCCGATGGGTAGCATCAGATCAAACCTGGGAGAGGCACTTCAGAGGGTGGCTGAGCTGGGCTTTGGGGCACAGACCCCAGATCAGGTCATGGGCTCAGGCAGGGATGTGAAAATCAAGGGTATATTCCCAGGGGAGGCTGTGGCTGTTGCCTGGTCACCTCAAAACACACACACTCCACTTCCTTACACAAGCAGATGGTGTGAAACACCTTTCCTCCTTTAAAACTCACCTACACCTCTCATTCTGACCTTGTGCAAAGCATTAGCAGAATTGTTTCTATGACAATTACTTTCTCAAAACTAATTCCCAGATCTACACCCCTGTGTTTTGAGGAAGCTCAAATCCATGGCACTTCCATGGTCCAACCAGGCTTGGACAAGCTGGCTTTGGCTAATCTCTAAATCAGCCACCCACAAATCATGAGGTGCTTCTAAAGTAACTAAAACCATCAAATGTGCTGTCATTAGGTTAAAATCCACAATTGGAGGGCCCTGGAATTTTTGGCTGTGGAATATTTTGGAGGGTTGAGTAGATAGATAAACACTGATGCTCTGAGTCCTGGTGTTTGTGGTTGCAATGTGTTAACATGGAGGTGGGAACTAAGAGGACACAAGTGCTCTGCAGAACAGTGCTGAGCGATATTGCTGATGAAGGAATGAGCCAAATGCTTTGACTGGGCTGCTCCAGGACTCCCTGACAGCAGCAATGACTCCCTTGTTAAGCAGAACACGCTGTGACAGCCTGAAGCTCGCCCTGCTCTCAGAGGATTTGAACCAGCCAAGTCCTGTCAGCCAAAGGCAGGATGGAGGCAGGTCACGTACCTGTGGGGAGAGGCCATTGCTGACGGGGTTCATGTGGTTGGCAGGAGCTGCAGCGTTCATGAAGCTGTCGGAGTAGCTGGAGAAGCTGTGCCGGGCTCCGTAGGCTGAGCCGCTGTCGGCGGCGGCCGCGAGTCCCCCCTGGTGCATGGTGGAGGGAGGCAGGGGCTGGGGCCTGTGCACGGTGCTTCCCCCGTCTGCGGAGAGAGAGCAGGGCTCAGTAGGGCTGGGGGGACAGCTGGTACTGCGAAATGGCCCCTGGGTTTGGCCATCCTGTCTCAGCGTCTGGGACACGCCATGTTCCACAAAGTGTGTGATGGGACAAAACCTGCCATGCTGGGGGGAAATATCTGAATTTTCCTTTAACTTTTCCTCGAACAGAAGCTGTAAATTCTTTTGTAAAGGTCAAAGCCAACTGAAATGGGCAATACTCCCTCCACAGAACCCCAGTGTGGAGCTTTATCCAGAACGAGGGATCACCTACAGGATACTCAGTTCACAGTGCTGTGCTCCTCATTTCAAAGCTGAGCAGAGCTACAGCCATGGGACACATTGACAGAGCAAAAGGACCGTGAGACAGAGGAGAAAACCGAGGAGCTTCCACCAACCTGAGGAAAACCTTGGTTTTCCCATCTCAAGGAAAACCACCTGTGTATTACAAGAGACCCAGTGGGATGTCATGAATGACAAAGGCAAGGAACAATGGGATGATAGAATCCCAGAATTCCAGAACTAATCCTCACTGGAGGATGCAGGACTTGGTGTGTGTTGGCACATGGAGGAGCAGGATACATGCCTTGAAATGGGAATGTCCCCAGACACACAGTTCCCTCAAGGACAGACGGGATGAGAAAGGGACAGGGAGGTGGTCCCACAGACTGTGGTGCTGAGGGCAACCTGGTTGGGACAGGAGACAGGGCCACCTCATGCAGGGGAGGGGCAGACATGGCATGGATCACTGCTGCTGTGCTCCTCCATCCTCAGCAGGGGACTGCAGGTGACAAAGCCTGGCTCAGGAGTGGGCCTAGAGAGGGGTAGGTGGCTCAGAGGTCCCTGGCAGGACAAGGGAGCAGCCCTGTGCTGCATCTGGCTCAGGAGATGGGGATGGACACTGTGGAATCCTGGGATGGTTTGGGTAGGAAGGGACCTTAAAGCTCATCCAGTTCCAACCCCTGCCGTGGGCGGGGGCACCTTCCACTATCCCAGGTTGCTCCAAGCCCTGTCCAACCCGGCCTTGGAAAGGCAGGATTTGGGAAGAGAAGAGCAGCGGCACAGGCGAAGGGTGCTCACCTTGGGAGATGGTGGTGGTCGGGTAGGTGGAGTCCGGCAGCTGGTAGGGGGGCAGGGTGGGCATCCCGGTGGGCGGGAACCCCCCCGGCAGCAGGTGGTTGAAGGCCGCGAGCTGGTTCGCGCCCGCCTGCTTGCGCCAGCGCGCCCTGCGGTTACTGAACCACACCTGGGGGGAGAGCAAAGGCCACGAGTGATTCCCCCTGAGCTGCCGTCCCACCCCAGCCAGGATCTGACGGGAACATGTCCCACAGCGCTGGCCAAAGCCAGACCCAAGTTGCTGCCTGACTCAGATTTGTGAGTGTTTGCCTCCATTCCTCAGTCCTTTTAGTTGCTGAACCTGGAAGGGAGAGGAAAGATCCCCCTGTGACTCCCGGAGCTGCTGTCCCGCCTCACCTGGGGGCTGATGGAAACACATTCTGTCCAAAAACAGGTTCAAGTTGTTGCCTGCCACAGGCTCTGTGGATATCACAGAATCCCAGAATATGCTGAGCTGCAAGGGACCCACAAGGATCATCCAGTCCAACCCTCAGCCCTGCATGGGACCACTCCCAGAGTCACCCCCTGTGCCCCAGAGGATCAGCCAAACCCTCCTAGAGCTCTGGCAGCCTTGGGGCTGTGCCCACTGCCCTGGGGAGCCTGGTCAGTGCCCAACCAGCCTCTGGGGGAAGAACCTTTGCCTGAGATCCAACCTGAGCCTGCCCTGGCACAGCTCCAGCCATTCCCTGGGTGCTGTCCCTGGTCCCCCCAGAGCAGAGCTCAGTCCCTGCCCGTCCTCTGCCCCTGCCCAGGAATGGGAACTGCACTGAGGTCTCCCCTCAGTCTCCTCTGCTCCAGCTGAACACACCAAGTGTCCTCAGTGTCCTCCCACGGCTTCAAATCAAGGCCCTTCCCCACCTTCCTTGGACACTCTCCAATGGCTTCAGATCTTTTTTATATTCATCACCATTCCTCAGTTCCCTTTCTCCCAAATGACAATACAACCCCTGCCCTGTCTCCTGGGTAAACATATACATTTAAAATGGCTCAAGATGCTGCTGAGAGTGTTGGGAGGGTGCTCTGAGCTGTAGGGTGAGATGAAGAGGAATAATTTAACTTGTGTATTCCGGGAGAGTCCACACCAAATAGAAGCACTGCTACCACCTGGCCATTCTGCCTTGTTATCTGACAACTATGTGAATTATGCTGAGGGATTAAGGACCATAATAGCAACACGGCTGCTCTGTTAGGAGGGATAAATAGACAGATTAGCATCGTGGTTTCAATGTTAGACAAGCTAAAGAGATAGAACCAGACCGGAGGGAATACAGGGCTTGCTCAGCTCCTCTGTGCTGCAGCAAATCACTGTTGTCTGTATGCTAAGACATGCCCTGCTTGGAGCAGCACCAGAATTGTTCTGCAGCCAATTTAAATCTCTGTGCATTAAAATAAACCCGGTTTTAATGCCTGTGCAAAGCTGGGCTCATGTTTCCTACAGTGCTGGTTTACCTGTAAGACTCCCGAGGAGATTTTTCTAAATGCATCTGTGTGCCCTGGTGTGTTTTATCGTGGGCAATCTCCCTCCTGCATAGTGGAAGGGGCTTCTCAGTCTGTCACTTGGGCTTGGTTTGCTTCATTTAATCAGAGAGGCTCTCAGGCCCCATTGCTGTTTGGGGTTCAGAAGTATGTGGATAAGCTTTCAAGCCAGATGAGAATGCAGCTGCTGGACTTTGGGAGGCCTAAAGGGCTAGAAAACACGATTAAATTTCACAGCAACAAGAAAAAATGGAGCAAAAATCAAGAGTGTAAAGCATTCAGGGGGGGGAAAAATCCTCCATCAAGCTTCCAAGCTGCTCAACATCAGATCAGGGGCTAGTGTTACAAGGGTTTGAGGCACTGCAGCCCAAACTGCGCCCACATCTTAGAACCAAACCAAAACTCTTCCCCAGATACTGCAGAATTTTAGCCCTGTGTGCTGTGGACATCAAACATGACCCAAAGCTCAAAATGGGCATCTTTCCCTGGTCTTTATGTCCAGTCCTCCTGTAAACAGTTACCTGTTCCTGTGCATTTTTCTTACAGGAAAAGGCAAATTTATTTAATGGAGTGCTGGTCTCCAGCCCTCACACACTGCAGTGGTGCCTGCTGCAAAAATAAGTGTGCACTGAGCTTCACCCACTAATTTCTGTGAGGTTCTCTGGATCACAGCCTATTATTGCTCTTTCTACGTGTTATTTAGCCACTATCATGCTGTGGAAACAGTTTAATTAAAACTTGCTGTGATCCTGATGGCTGAGGAAGAACCCAGGCCTGGGCAGCCCTTAATTTCATGCTGTTATTTACATCCATATACAATGACAACAACAAAAGCCCAGTTTTCTTTCAAGAGTTGGTCTAAATTAAACCCCTGAAGTGTTTACAGTGCTGATGTCAGGTCCTTGGCTCCAAAAACCTCTTTGTACAGACCTGTTCCTGTTGCCCTGCTCTGCTGGCTGGAGCAGCACAACCTGCCACCCTCCCAAAGGCGTGACAGAAATGGGTCAGCTCACATCCTCTGCATTGGCCACCAGGGGCCGGGCAGGTCACAATCCCTGGGGCCACTTCTGGCACCCAAAGTCGCTAAAAAAATCTAGGACAGAGTTAAGGAGAGGGAAATGAATGAAGGCTGAGGTCTGTGGCACTTCACAAGTCCTTTATCCAGCCCAATCCGTGGCACAGCTTCTGTGAGCAGTGAGCAACAGAAATGAATAAATAACCTTTTGTTTGCCCTGACCATGCAAAGAGGAAGGTCCCATCCTTTTCTCAACAGGCATGTGTGTGCAAATCCAGTTTCAAATTAGGGAGATGGACCTTGGCTCCTTGTCTCTTATAATTTGCTTCCACTTCCACAGATAAGGACATGAAAATTGGATATTTCTGGTAGCTGAACACAGGGAGATAAATAAACCTACTCTTTTTAGAGACAAAGGCCTAGGCCTGGGCTGGAAGAGCTTCCACTCCAAAAAAATAAAGATCTCAGTGCCAAGAACAGCACATAAAATTCAAATACCTGAAGGGAGAACACAACCAAGACATGAATCCAGGAACCGAGAAGGAAAGAGAAATGGAATTCCAAGAGTGCAAACCATCCCCACGAGGACTCACTGCCCCATCTGTCAGTTGATTTGGGCAATGTATGATCAAAACACAACGTGGAGAAGGTTTGTGTTGTCTTCTGTTCCCCCCTTGTGAGGTTGTTGTTGTCTGGGCACCAACACACCCCTTTGCACTCAACAACAACTAAAGACTCCCCCTGCCAGAGGACCCTGTTACACCATGGTAAGCCTAGGGTGAAGGCTGCATCTGCTAAAACCAGGCTGCTGGGAAGAAGATGAGGAAGAGGAGGAAGTTTTGGAGCTGCTGGGGATGTTTTGTTCAGAATTAAAATGCACACGTGCCTGTGATGGCTGCTCCCATCCTGATCCTCCACATCCAGTATGGGGGTGTGGTTCCTTTATGCTTTAAGGGAGATAAAAGGATACTCTGGATCCTTTTACAACCAGGTAGAGTCAACAAAAAAATCCTGTGCATGAGCCATTTTGGTCTACAGTGCACGTGGGCTTGTGAAGAAAGGAAAGATAAATTCTGAGAGAGCGGATCATCACCAAAGAAATTCAGTTCTTAATTATGCTCCTCCTGTGACTTTGGGAAAGTATTGCTTTTCTGATTTGAAATCAGCGTATTCAACAAATTTTAGTCCTTACACAACCCATGCATCAGATTAGCACCTCTAAATTGAGGATAAACTCATTTTCTTGCATTTTAGTTCATTTCCACAGTCAGCCACTGGAGATAGAGGCTCTTTTGAAGTGCCAGAAGGCACCAGACCCAGCACAGCAAGATCTTGGAGCATCTTGTCTGGAGCATCGCAGCAAAGCAGGTGATAAATGATAATAACAGCAAATACACCTGCACCAAGGGAATTCACAACCATGTGTTGAAAGGCAGTGTCTCCTCCCAGAGCCTGGCTGGGGAATCCAGCCCCAAACACACCGAAACCTGCCACAAAGCAACTGATAGGATTTACCTTCCCGTGCAGGGGAAGGGACATTTCATGGCCCAAACAGGTTGATTCTGCCCCTTATTTATAACCCAGAGGAAAAAAAGGAGCTCCTTTGCAGCTAATGACGTCTGCAACTCCTTCCCTTCCCCCACTCAAAGGTGGCTCAGGCCTTTATGCTCATAAATCATTTTATTGGGAGCTAAAATACAGAGGCTGGAGCATCTCCCTGTAATGCGAGGTGTACTTCAAAGGGAACCTGCTTTCATTTCCCAACAGTTAAGGGTTTATCAGCCACTGAAGATTCCCCCTGCCAGGGGATCCTGTTACACCATGGTAAGCCTGGGGTGAAGGCTACGGCTGCTAAAACCAGGCTGCTGGGAAGAAGATGAGGAAGAGGAGGAAGTTTTGAAGCTGCTGGGGATGTTTTTTAGAGGCTGCTGGGGCTGGATTGCATGATTAGAGTTTTATGCTGGGATGAGGTAGCACTTTAGAAAAGGGCTGTGTGGAGAATTCACCAGGAGAAAAAACACCATGGCAGAAACCAGCTTTTCTTTAAAAAGGGAAGTTTTTCATGGTCATTTCATAGCATAGACCCTGAGCTGTGTAAATGTGCTGCTTTCCAAGGGTGTAGAAGTACAATACAGACCACTGGAAACAACAGTTTGTACTTGTTAAAGGCATTTGGGGCTTTTTTCCCCTGTGAATCGTCTTCCAAATAAAGTATTAAGAACACAGGAGATGTGTTATAGAAACTGCTTGGCATTGCTGAGGGGAAGGAGATGGATACAGTAATGCCCCCATGGGAAAGAACTGGAAAGAAGATATGCAAGGAGGTTTTTCATGTTCTAATCAAGCCCAGGGCCCAGGTAAGAGCAGTGTCCCTCACTGTGCCACATGCCCCTTGCTCAGATCCTGCTCCAAAGATCCTGAATATCCCTCAATCCCTCACCTCCCCATTCCCTTCCCAGATGGGCGAGGGAGGAACGTCGAGACTAAAAAACCTCTCCAATTCATCACTGTCCACTCTGCAGAACCAGCTGATTCCAGGAGGGCCCGTCCTCCCAGCCAGCCTGGCTTTGGGGCAAAGGTTAGAACTGGTTCTTGTTTAACCCCAGTGCCTCCACCCAGCCCTGCCAGGAGCCAGTCCG